AGAGAGAGAGGGGGGAGGAGAGACGGAGCAGAAGGGGAGAAGAAGAGAGGAGGAGAGGAGAAGAAGATGAGAAAGAGAAATGGAGATGTTTACCTGTATGTCCGGCATGGTCTTGCCGGAGAGTTGCCGGAGAACGAGAAGTACCCAAAGAGCGAACGAAGGAGACGAGAGATTAATGAGAGAGAGAGAGAGAGAGAAAGCCAAAATAGTGAAGTCAAATATCAAGCTATAAACTGGTCCAAAGACCATCAATGTCAGCTTGGATAAATCTTCAGCAGTAGGGTATAGAAAATTGTATAGGTTTGGGATTGTGGTTTATGTATCAAGAAAGGTGAAGGAGGGGTTATGCACCAGACTTGAAGGTGTTCAAATTTCATTTTATTGACATCCTATAAATATTAGTAGTTGGCAATACCTGTTAATAGTGAAGTAGTTTTAAGTTTTTATTATCAAAGAAAAAGATTCGAGTTCTATTATTACATGGAGCAAATTGCATGTCAAAGATCAGGTTCTAATAATAGTGTAACTGGTTTTTCAGGATAATCTAATTCACAGTGCCTCCATTATTTAGGTTTTTTGCAAGTCAAATCTTCTACTGTTTTCTAATGAAATTGCCTTCAATTGCTTTGTATCTTTGCAGTGTGTAGCCTCTCACCCTGACACCAGAATGTTGTTCCTCAATGGTAAAGATTCTGTTTCTTCTTTTCTTTTTTCTTTTAAATTTTCTTAGCTGTTTCTCAATTGCAATCAGCTTGGCCTTTTTGATATACAAAAAAAAAAGGCTTTTCTGGCTGCTCTTTTAGGTGGAATGTCATTGGAGAGAAGATGACAATATCCATAAACATCCTCTTGTATATGGATATATGATTTGCTTGATACAGATCATTAACCTATTCAGTTGATATAATTCCTTGACAGCATTGTTATTGCCTTGTTTCTTATGTTTGTTCAAGTGCAGGAATGCTAGAAATTGTTTTATGTTGATTTGTAAATTGTTACTTCTGTTGATTTGCAGTTGTTCATGAATGCAAAGTGTTTCCCTTAACAATGCCACAGACACAATTCTTAAAACCCCTCATAGTTACATCTCTTATACCACAGGCACTTGCTTCGTGCTTTTCACTTAATAAAATTCTTATTTACTTGTCAAACACAGACACAATCAAAGAATAAAACCCAAATAATATCAAATTAGTATCACTTGGCATTCACTTGATAAGTCTTTAGAGAACTGGAATTTGATTTTCACATGAAAACACTATACTTGGATGTATGTTATCCATTACTCAGGAAAAAAGATTATACATTTTTCTTGGAATTCACAGCTGTCAAGCTATAGAGACTGTCCTTCCTCGGCAGTCGCTGATGTCCATAAAGAGGAGGAAAATTACATGTTTGTGGCCTTAGGTTCATTGAAGCACTGGCTAGTGCAACACAAGCCTGTCCTAGATATACTATCCTGGCCCCCATATTATTCATGTAAAATGCTTTGTAACCTTCAAAAACTAATACATATTGTAAAAAAGAACCAAATAGATGGAGTTTATAATTGTGATGTGTTTCCGAGATCTGGATCGACCTCAGTTTGATGATAATCGTAATTGTGATCCATCTTAGTTGTGATCTTTTGTTGCTTTCCTTGATAAATCCTTCTGACTGTTTCCTACTTTGCAGCGCATATTCCGTTGTATTTGTACCCTTTTCTTAATACAACAAGCAAGTCAAGACCTTTTGAATATCTGAGGCTTACTAGCTTAGGTGTCATTGGTGCCCTGGTGAAGGTAATAAGTCTGCTGAATTTCATGCATCTTTTTCTCTTTCAGTGTTAGTGTTATTAAGGTTTTGTTCATGATCATATCTACTGGGAATGACAGTCTATGAGAAGGAAACCATGATTAGTTATAATTTCAGGAGCTCAAGATGCTGTTTATGGAATCTTTCCCTAGCCTTAATCCTTTTTTGTTCTAAAGTTCAGGGTACTCTGTTTCTTTTGATTTTTTCTGTGCAGGTAGATGACACTGAAGTTATCAGCTTTCTCCTATCGACAGAGATAATTCCCCTGTGCTTGCGTACGATGGAGATGGGGAGTGAACTGTCAAAAACAGTGAGTGCTTCCTCAATGACAGTTTCCGACCATATCCTCACTTGTTGATCAGATTTTCATTCATCTAATTTGTGCATGCTGACAGGTTGCAACTTTCATTGTGCAAAAAATCCTTCTTGATGATGTGGGTCTGGATTACATCTGTGCCACAGCTGAGAGGTTTTTTGCAGTAGCCCGAGTTTTAGGGAATATGGTTGGTGCACTCGCTGAACAGCCTTCATCAAGGCTGCTGAAACACATAATTAGGTGCTACCTTCGTTTGTCAGATAATGTTAGGTTAGTTTTCTGTATATCACCATCCCAGTTTTCCTTGCAGCTTGCTTATGTGTAATATATCACAGCCCTCTCGTGTCTTCCCTTTTTTATGGGCTAAAACTGATATGCACTGGTTATGGCAGGGCATGTGATGCACTGAGAAATTGTCTTCCGGATATGCTTAGAGATACCACCTTCAGCAGCTGTCTTCGTGTACGTAATGCTTGCAATCTAAGTAGCTTCCCACCCCACACCCCCACACCCAACCTGCTTCTCCCATAAAACATGAAGCATACTTTTTCTTTGTATTGTTGATTGAGTTTGCCCATTATGCTTGTCAGGAGGATCCAACAACGAGGAGGTGGCTACAACAGTTGATCCATAATGTTAGTGTGCCTCGGGTTTCTTTGCAGGCTGGAGGTTTTGATCATATGCTGGTGAACTCATTGAGTTCTCACAATTAGGACTTAATTGAGACTTCCTTGGATCTTTCACTGAGTCCCACATTGGTGGCTTGGTTGGAGTATTTAAGGTGTATAATAGGAATGCCTATCTTTACGCGTATTGCCATAGCGTATTTTGTGAATTTTGGAGATTGGCAACTTTATTATTTGCTACAAATAGGAGACCAACAATGTTATTAGACAATCTAGCAAACTTTATTTATGCAGATATGGATTTTATCCTCCTTGATGAGATATAAAGGTGAGAGAGCTCAGTGCATTTACTGAGTAGACTTCCCTGATTAAATTAATGAATTCCTTTCATTTAGCTCTAAGGGTGTATTTTGAAAAATATTTTCCAATTTTCTCATGTTTGGTTGGCTTAAATATTTTGAAAAATATTTTCCTCATGCACTCATTTTTGGAGGAAAGTGTTTTCCNTTTCATGATGTAAAAAAAGTATTTTCTTTCGTTTCAATAAAATGGGTACTTTCTTTTCATGTTGCAGGAAAAATATTTTCTTTCATTTCAACAAAATGCATACTTTCTTTTCATGTTGTAGAAAGTGTATTTTTGTTTTGTTTTAATAAGAAAAGAGTATTTTCTTTTTAGTTATGGAGCTCACATTTCAACGTTATTCATGTTTGAAAAAGTAAAGCACAGTTTCTTTGGGTTTGTGTGAATTTTTAAAAGAATAATTAAATTCTTGAAGAAAATAAAGTCCAAAAAAGGTTGAGTGTTTTGGGGAGAGGGGGAGAGGAGCACATGAAACATGCGGATTTCGGGGAAGAGGGGTTAGGAGAGTAGCATAGAAAATTATTTTTTTAAAAATATTTTTTACTCTCTAACCAAACACTAGAAAATATTTTCTGAAATTTTATTTTACTCACCAACCAAATATGAGAAAATTAGTGATAAAATCACTCATTTTCTAGAAAAATATTTTCTAAGGAAAAAGTTTTCGTTCACTCCAAACACAACCTAAAAGAAATATTCTATGGGTATCACTTTTAATATTAAGTTGAGGGGTCACTCATAGAAGTTTAATTTCTTGCATTTTTTCTTGAGCCGAATATCTATCAGACGCAACTTTTCTACCTTATAAACGTAGAGGTAAGGTTGCATATACACTAACCTCCTCAGACTTTAATTGTGGAATTTCATTGGATATGTTGTTGCTGTTAAGCTTAGCAACAAAAGGTGGGGAATGTCATAGTGCATAGTATAAAAACATGCCAATTCCATTCCTTACCTCAAAGATTTTCAATATAGACCAGATGTTTTTACTTACACTCGAGACTCGAATTATGTTTGTATTGCTATGTGGGGCATTTGCATCTATACCCGTTTTTTGTATCATATTTTAACTTGTGCTCGCTTTGCAAAAAAAATTGCAAGCGCACCCGCTTTTTCACATAACTTCAACATACGAGGCTGAAGTAGCAAAGGCAATTACACAAAACTTCAGCATTCTAGTAGCCGGCCCTGAAGTTCAGCTCTAGAGCTGAAGTTTTTGTGTTGTAACTGGAAACTTCAGCTCTAGAGCTGAAGTTTTATTTTATAAGTTTTTGTTTAGTAACCCGAAAACTTCAGCTCTAGAGCTAAAGTTTGCCAGTTATAAAATAAAAACTTCAGCTCTAGAGCTGAAGTTTTTTGTACATAGGGATTTGCCTTCCTTTTTTTGTTTTTTCTTTTTCCCTCACCTTTACGTATGCCCTGCAATATCTAGTCTAGTACGCAAACACTGTAAAGTTCCTCCTCAGTTCATATTTCGAAAAAATAAACTACGTACTCTTTATATTAATGTATGAAAATATACTGTATTTCTGTGCTTAAGTCAATCCATTGATAATTTAAATAGATGTGCAGTTGAAACAACACGTAAATTCACGTGGTCATAAAATAACAGAGGCTTTGATGAGTTTAAGAAGTAAAAACTGTTACAGGTATGGATTCGATGGAATCAAATTGTAGAAGAAGAAAAAAGAAAATGAAGGAGGAGAAGGGGAGGAGAAAAGGAGCTGAAGTTTTTTAACAAGTGGATACAAGTTAAAAGTTTTTTAAAAAATAGGTATAGATTAAATGGGGGCGACCAAATAGGATTCCCGTGCAATTTTATATTGCTATATGGTTAGAAGAATCTCATCCTGATCTTAAATTGAAACCTAATTTTTTTCTTAATCATAGCTATGTGCTACAAATTACAATACTATCAAATATATAAATAACATTATTTGTTACCTATTTTCTAAAAAATTAGAGGGAGAAGAAGAGGCAAAAATTGGAACAGAAATAGCATTTGATTCGTTGATCCTCCAAATAAAAAAGCAAGGTTTGTTGTTGAGGGACATAGGGGTGTTTGATAACGCACAACTATGTCTTTCAAAGGACAAAGCGGTCGCTGCAAATATAATCCGGTTTTAAGTCCGGAATCGAATCCTCAGGGAACTAACCTATCTATTACACTTTTCGGTAATATTATTATCAACTCAATCAATCTCTAGATGCAAAATTTATGATCAATAAAGTTTTTTTTTTGTATAACTACTTCAACTACTATTAAAAACAACAGTAAGCTAAAACAAAGAGAATTCAATGGTAAAGAGGTCTAGGGCAGTGATTTCCCCAATTGCTAGTTTAGGTCTTGACTCTTCCGCTATAATCTTGCCGTAATACTCTATGAGGATTAAGAGTTATGGGCTATCGTAATTATCTCTCAATCAACTACAATAATTTACTAGAGCATTCTCTCGAACTACTCTAGCTGAAAATGGGTATGCAACTCTAAATTATCCCACCAAAGTTTTGTTATCTCTAAACCCACTTTTAAGTTCAAGTAATGAATCTCTTCAATTACCCAAAAGTGGTGTTGTTCAATAGCTATCTAACCTATATTCTTTTTCAAGCCATATAAGGTAATTAGACACGATTAATCAAGAGCCCATTCAATTAATCACCATACAAAACGTAGTTGAACAATCATATCATAAATCCGGCTCGATTATAACAACTTGAGTCAAAACTTCAACCAACAATTGGTTCCATCAACCCTAGATAAGTGTTTAACTACTCATAACAAAATAAGAAATAACTACTAAATTGTTCATAATGTAAAATTGCAAGAATTAAAAGGAGATAGAAAAACTCTAATGTTTGGTTGATCTTCTCACACTTGTTCTTCCTCCAAAAGTAGTCTAAAATTAGCTTGTTTTTTTTCAGTAGGGCGAGTTTCGAAAGCTTATAACGGTTTTACAAAAGTTTCCCCAAAATTACACTTTGGTCCTCAAACTTCCAGCTACGTGAACAGTGCACCGCGGTCGCGGCCAACCGCGATCGACCGCGGTGAATGCCAACCTTTCTGCCTCACTTAATTAATATGCCGCGGTTCGCCGCGGTTCACCGCGGTGCCGCCGCGGTTGCAGTGGCCTTCTTGCCCAGGTCATTTATGCTTCTTTGTGTTCGAGTACTTCTCGAGTGAGTGTTTTTCTTCACATTATCGCCTCTAAAACACTCCATGTTGCTTCCTCTCATATAATATTCCCTGCTAAACAAAAGAACACTATTTAGAGCATTTTGTTGGCAAATTATCTATAAAACAACAACAAAGTATGGTCCTATTAAGGTGTAAATATCGACTATATAGCCTACTATCAACACCCCACACTTAAATCATTGCTAGTCCTCGAGCAATCCACCACACTCCATCAAAATTTCTTCCCTAATCTTTTCCTTTAACGACTAACACCATGAACATTTTACAACAATTTGCACCTAGTAGTGAACAACCTTTACCTCAAGAGTCAAACATTTTGTACCATGCAACATTTGCACTTACTCAAACTACTCTATACAAGAGTCAAGACTTACCTTTCCTTTGTGAATCACATGCCCTCACACCACACACGAGAGTAGTTCCACATATAACGATAATTAGAACAAGTAGGAACTAAGATAGACAAAATTCGCTCACTCTCAGAAAGAACATTCACATGCCACAAAGATGCACCATAGGCTTGCCCGTAGTGTAATACTTTACTAATTGAGCCCATTCAGTCTAAGATCAATAGGACTTTACTTGGTTGTAATGTAGGCTAAGGGACGGGTAGGATATATTTAGATATAGTGACTAACCTCCCTAAGCACTTTTAATACAATTACATTAAACTTAAAGATCATAGTTGTCACACCTCCTTTTTCCTACACCCCGTAAAGGTATAAGGAGTTTTTTCCAATTTAAGGACAATCGAAACGAAATTATTTATTAAAAATTCAGAGTCGCCACTTGGGATAATTTTATGGTGTCCCAAGTCACCGGTTCTAATCCCGAATCGAGGAAAAGATTGACTCCGTTTACAGTCCGCGAACACAAAAATCCGGGTAAGGAATTCTGTTAACCCGGGAGAAGGTGTTAGGCATTCCCGCGTTCCGTGGTTCTAGCACGGTCACTCAACTGTTATTATTGGCTCAATTATCTGATTTTAAAACACTTTTAAACCTATGTGCAATTTTAACTTTATAACCGCTTTTATTTAATTAATTTTTAAGAAAAATTCAACGTCATCTAAAACACGTCTTGAACCACGTCACATAAATACACCAGTGGTCCGCAATATATTTTATCTAACATTGTTGAGATTTGGATTTGGGTCACATAAATGCGCACCCGAGTTTTAAAAAGGTAAATTATTAAAACAACGCGCCTAAAGCAACTACACATTTTTAATTTGCGAGGGCCATGGAAATTTCGCTAAATGGCACGCCTCGAAATTTAAAAGAATTAAGATGTTATGTAAGGCTACGCTCATGTAAGGCTTAAAATGTCAGCCAAACATTCATTTTAATCTCATTTTTTAGCCCAAACCACTACTTCCTTTAGTCGAATCCCGAAGATCAATTCCCCAAAATGTCTTGTGAACCACAATTTCATTTATGCAGCCTATATTTCTATCGTTGGTGTCAACAGCATGATGTCAAAGCTTTTCTAGTTTATCTATATGCTCATTGCTCATAGATCTAATTTATTGCTAGTGTATTTTTTTTTTTATTACTATTTCAATTAGTTTCATTTTCCATTTTTCCCAAGAAATCATTTTCCATCAATGGCAGAAACAAAGGAATGCCATGTTATCGTTGAAATCCCAGTAGACGAAGAGCATAAAAATAAACTCTTACTTCATTTAGAGAAACAACAACAGTTAGGACTTAATTGCAAAAATAATTCGGAGTCAAATATATTAATCATCTATATCCTTAATCCACTTTATGTGCATATAATCCAAAGGAGCCTACATGAATCAGTTGGTATAT